TTGCCACTGGGACGCCGTTAACTAGAGTTTTAACGTATAATGGCCTCAGGTGTTTTGTCAATTTCATGGCTGGCCGTTTAAAACCAACCTTTTTGGCAGCCTCTATTTCTACTTCTTGCTTGTTTTCTGTTGAATTATCCCCTTGTGATAGGTCGACGTGTAGTATGTCACGCTGATCCTCTGTCTCCCGAATTTCCTTCTTACTTTTTTTTAATGCTTCCTCATCAGTTATCCAACCTGTGGGAGGGGGCATTATCCTTGGAAGTGACCCATACTTTTCAGAGCGAGGTACTCTCTTCTTCCTTTTGGGTGTCCCGTATAGTACGTAGAAGTCGAAAGGACGCCCAGATGGCTCCCCCAACAAGTCTACTTCGCGAACTCCCTCTTGGTGTAGTTGCTTAAACAGAGTGTTGCGCGATACTCCCCTCTTTTTCCTTTCTGCTTCTAGATCGATTTCTTCTTCAATGTCTGTCATCCCATCGTCCTCTTCATCGTTGTAGGCCTCTCCAGAAGTCTGGCCTTCTTTACATACCAGCATGCAGGCTTCTCCTTCGTTGTCCTCCCTCTCTTCTTCCTTTTCTTTATTCTTGAATTCATTGGCCAGTAGGTAATTATTGGCCACGACAGGGGGCAACGTACCGAATTGGATAGCAAGGGGCTGATCTGGATCTTCTTCGTCCCTTTTGTCCCTCTCAAACCTTGACCTCCCAGAAGAGGTTTCTGGCAGTTCCTTCATTGATTCATCTGTACCAGTCTCTTTACTACCTTTGAGGACGTTCTGATTGGCTACCTTGAGTAATAGAGGTGCTTTAGGATGTGGCATTCCTTGTTGCTGCCTCATCATCCGTCCGTAGTTTCGCTGGAAACGCCTTTGTTGGGTCCTAGTCATCTCATCAAAGGGTATTGCCCTTCTTGCGCTGTACTGGAATAAATGCCATACATTTGGCCGGCGAGGTTGCGGCCTAAATGTTCTTCCAGTATCCGCTGGTCTGAACTGCCTTTCAAAAGGTGGTCCTCTATAAAATGATGTACCTCGCCCTCTACCAGGTTGAATGTTTGGGAAGAAGGCAGAGCGATGAGGATGCTGCCATGTCTCTGGTTTCTCCGTGTCTCCATTTACTTCCCTTTTACACCTTGCACACAGGACGTTTTCGTCCTTTTTTGGTTCTTTCCCTTTGATTCGTTCGAAGACACTGGGATGTGTTTTAGTGTCCTCTTTCCATCGTCTATGACCAACTTGAATTTTGGCAACTTGTTCTTGAACCCAGATGTTACCATATTTACCCCAAGTGGCTGTGGGAAAGGATTCTCGTCCACTGCCATCTTTTTCTTATCATCGAACGTAATTCGTCCTGATTCAATAGCATCCTGCAATACGTGACGGAAAACCAAGCAATTGTTAGTCAAATGTGACCATGCATTATGCCACTTATAATATTTTTTACCCTTTATTTGTTTTTTATATTTCCATCTTTCATGGGCTCATCCTTACCCGATGGTCTAGGCCTAGCCATTATAGAACAAGTATACATGTCTCCTTTGAACAATTCGGCCAAACACATTTCGACTTGATCGTATGACTCGTCGCTGATGGTATGAACGTCAAAATTTGAGTTTTTGTAATAAGTCTCTTTACTAGAATTTTTCATCTGCTCTTCTTCTCTTATCAGTTGTTCATACCTAATCACATTTGCACTCAACTGGAAAAGGTCGGGAAATTCCTTATCTTGGGAACTTCTTTTTTAAATCAAAGCTCAAGCAGCCTTATGCGATCTTGACAAATTCTTTTTCGGGCAGAGGTACAAAACACTTGCTTCTTGCTGTTTTGAACCTTTGGAGAAAACTTTCTGCCCATTCATTTGGCATTTGACGTAGATTCGCCAAATCAGCCAAAGTGACTTCAGATTCAGTTTTATAAAACTGAGCATGAAACAACTGTTCCAGTTGTTGCCATGTTTGAACAGAGTTCGCTGGCAGGTTGATGAACCAGGAGAAAGCTACTCCTGTTAACGAACTAGGGAAAAGTCTCATTTTATGGTAATCGGTTACATCACCACTTTGCAACGTGAATCGCCCTATGTGTTCTAGAGTAGACACCTCTCCTAAACCAGTAAACAGTGAGAATTCTGGCACTTTATACCCTCTAGGCCATGGATATGCTTGGTCTACCCAATCAGGATATAGCTTTGTGTATGTCGGCCTAATGACAGGACGCACCCCAAAGGCCATCTGATCCTGCACGATTTCCATAATCTGGCTCCTCAACATGACGTTGGGATCATATGGAATTCCTACAGGCTGATTAACCGGTTGATTTGCATTAGGTCTGATGTTTAGTCCTTGATTGGCAACAAAATTACCATAATTAGGTCCATTACCGTTAGCCTGGACATCTGTTCCCTCATTACCACGTGGAATATTCTGTCCATTGTTCAGGACATTATCTCTCACGTTTGAATTACCCCCCAAGTTAGGCATGCCACTACCATTATTTTGATTTGGCATTGTAGTACCTCCTTGGTTTGAAGTAGAGGGACCAGAAAGCGATTCCACCCCTTGATTTGGATTTAGGACAGAGGGATTATGTCCCACAATTGTCCTGGTTTGAAAGTGGTTTGTAAGAGGTATTGCCGGTTGACATATTTGGCCTACTAACTTATTCATTGTTTCGTTTAACGTCTTTAGCTGTTTGGCCATATTGTCATAGTGTGCATTTCCATTTTGTGTAAATCTTTCCATATTATAAATATTTCGAAGATTTACCTGTTCAACGACGTCTTGCGTGAGTTCTCCAAGCAATGCACGCATGGTTCGAGGACTCAACTCCGTCATTGGTTCGTAACGACTGTTACTGCTCTGATTTTGTCCATCTGTTCGTGGAGAGGCATGCTGCTCCTCATATCGCTCGATTACAGACTGGATTCCTCCCTGACTTGCTCCTTCCTTGTCGGATCTCTAAGGCATATTGTTTCACCTTTTGTATTTTCAACACCTAACACCACTGTCCCACCGGGCGTGCCAAATTGTTTCGCACGGATTAAGTCGCTAACAATTAAAAAGGATCAGATGATTGTGTAAGGGACGAAACCTCTTGAGACAAAGTCCCAAAAAGGGGTGTTCTTTTATTGGCGATGAACTTTACAATTGGAGACGAAAAACAACGTACCTCCAAGGGGCGCAAGCACACGAGTTACAGAAAGAAAAGTGTTTAAGTCTAAAAGCTAAGGAAATGAAAGTTACATATTCTCTGTTCGAGAGTTTTGGATTCGGTTCTTTGCTTCTGCGTCCTTTCTCCCTTTTATACCTCATAAACGATCTCTTTGTGATTAACTACTCTGAAAACTGCTTGATCGTCCTATAACTACCCACTTTCTTTGTAGTGGCCATTTTGTCATGAAACTGCCTCTTAACTGCTGCCATCATCTTTCATCATTCAACCGCTTTCGATTGAATTCCTTGAGTCGTGGAACGTGATAAGGATACTTTAACAACTGCCTTGATAACTGCATTCCTTGATAACCACGATGCGTTATGTTTGTTGATATCTTGGGCGACTTGAAGGTTTGGGCGAGAGTAGAATAACAGCTCTGGGCGACCGTATGATACTCCATTCGTTCAGATTCTGGGCGACTTGCAAACTTGGGCGATGGCGTTACCGCATTCTTGGGCCCCTTATTTGGGCCTTCACGTTGACTCGTTCGATTGGACTTCGTTCTTTGGGCCATCCGATTTGGGGATTCTCCAATTGGGCTTTACTCCTTGGGCTGTTCGACTTGGGCTGAATTTTTATGTGTCAACATCCACAATATGAGAGATAAGTCCTCATAAGTCACCGATTTTCCCAGTATGACAGCTAATTGGACTGCAAGGACCTTACCTTCAACAAATTCAGAACTCCTCGTCTTCTTTGGTGTAGACTATGAAGTTGATGTTTTGAGTTGATTAACGTTCGAGGGCAAGGGAAAAGTGCCATGGCCGCTATGCTCACCCAGCAGATTTTGAGACCATAAACCAAGGACGAGACCTTCTTTGAGATTATGGACTTCATCCACACCAGCATGAATCGATTTTTCTGATTCTATATGGTAAACTCTAGATTAGAAGCAGTCCCGCAGCAGGTCGGAACTCTTCTAAGCATGGTTCTGTACCATCCACAAAACCCAGAAGACCATGGATGTCAAGGGCACCTTCTTCTTGAGAGGACTAGTTAAATAAGATGATGGTCCTTCAAATCTCACATGGACAAACCGAACAAGATTGCTTGGTGGAATGAAGGTGACAACATAAGATTTTATTATTGTGGGTACAAGGCCAAATCGGGCTCTGATTCCATGAAAAAATTGATGAGAAGGACTTGGTCAATTGTATCAAAGTCATGTGTTCATTGTTTCTTTATAGACAAAGATATTAAAGATTTTGAATACATTCCAAATATACATCTTTCAATATTGCGATCATATAATTAAAGACTTCATAAAGATGAGAATAAAGTTGAACAAACAAGGTCAAAGATAGGAGCTTTTTTTAGGGAATGAAGTGGCAGATGTTGATCGACAATTTTTTCTTTAAATTTTTCTCAACTGTCAATGAGAAAATGCCAATGTTATCTGTTTTAAATCCATAGCATTAAATGTGTTCCTGTAGCATAATTGTAAAGATAATCCTATTGCTAGGCTGGATGTATGGCAGAGTTGGCACTGTCATCATTCGTTCTGTTAATCTGCACGTTGGCGTCCTTGAGAGAATCAAAAACTGAAATGGAAGGTTGCCGTCTAACAAGTCGCTCATTTTTTAATCGTTGCTATATTATTTCTATTCTTTTTCAATGCAAACCAAATGGCGGTCATTCTTTCTTCAAGTTTTAAGATTTTATATTATAAGATTTGTTGATAAAAGTTCATACAAGTGAGGAGATTTTCTAATTATGCCTCTGTTGGGTTTCTTAAACACGAGCTCACCCAAGTACACAGACAAAATGACCAAATTGCAACAAATGTACAAACCGAAAATACAGATACAACTCGGAGAAATGTATGGTAAACGAACACTATAACCACCAATACCTATCTACTCATCACTATCTTTCGCAAGCCTGTGGACATCATACCAGTTTTTCCACCATCTTCTGAAAGAACTCTTTCATAATAATATTTATGATGGAATGTGAATGTGAAAAAGCCAAGATATAATGAAAGCAACAACCACGCAGGCGAGGAGAAAATTTAGAAAACGGTGGCCATTTAAGCAACTTCGAGTTTCTGCACTTGCTAGTCCTGCAGCCGAGGCTGTATTTGCTACAGTTGAATTGCTTTCATTCGTCTGTTGTGATGCCTCAATATCATTCGGGCCAACCACATTCTGCGCAATTGAATTACAAATTTCACATGTCCTGAAAATGACAAATGACAGTAAGATATTGAAGGAGGAAGTGAAACCTAGATTATCTCCTCTCCCCGATAATCTTAACTAAGGGTCAAATCTTAACTTCAATCAAGCGAAGGAAATCTCAAAGATGACATAGCAAATAAACTTCATAACAATAATAAATAAATAAAATCATTGGTTTAAATAGAAGTTTAAGAAGTCCTTTCGACTACTTTAATTTTTTCCTTTTGTCTTTTCCTCACCTTTTTTAATCAAGAACATGTTTACATACTTTTCTACATTAATTAAAATTATGGTAACTGCATCATCCCTCGACCAACATAGTACACAATGTTATTACCACTCATATCCCATAAACCAAATACCAGGGAAGCAAAATACTAAACACATTCGTGTCTTGATAACCTCAAAATAAACAACAACAACAACATAGAAAACATATCGGTTATTAATAGAGATAGTATTAGCAAGAGATATCATATTATTTGAAACCCGATTTGCTCAATTTCATGGCCTCCAACTCAGCATAAAAATGTCAGAATTCACAAAAAAATCCATGTAATATCAAGACAATTTGGAGTACTCACTTGTTTCCTTTGATTTTGAACCAAGTCTCAGCACAATGCCTATGAACAGCAGCCAAATCATCCTTACAAGAACAACCCAATTCAATGGCAACACCTGTTTCTGGGCTACGACTCACCAAACTCAAATGGCAAATCCTACAATCTCTCTCAACTTTCCCCAAATGCTTCTCATTATCTCCATTTTCTCTGTCTGCTGAAGAATCACCCACAGATGAATTTCTCCCAGATTCCAAATTTTGAGGTACTAAAATCTGTCCAAGCCTAGAGCCACAGCACCAGTTGTAATCATCACAAGAACCATCACCATCAGCTGTGGAATAAAGTTGAGAGTAAGAAGAACCGTCATCCGCGTCGGAGAAACGTAGACTCCCCTCGCCGTTTTCTAAGTCTACACTAGATATTTGTAAACCAACCATAGCAAATGTCGTGAGTGCTATACAGCCTTAAAGACTGAATCTTTATAGTCTTTATGTGCTAAATTTAGCCTCTTTATGCTGCATTTATGACTTCTAATAGTATAAATTCAAGAACTTATCAGTTCATATAGGATTAGGTGATCTTTCAACTCCCCATTTGTACAGAAAATGTTGACTGCTTCAGTAAAGTGAAAAGGCTGATGGAGTGGATTTCAGAAGGAAAAGAACAAGAATTTGCCATAGAAACACACACTATTTTCTCTGTATGTGTGTGTCAGAGTGGACTGGCGTGGGGTGAATTTTCCAAATATATGTCGTTTGGATTTCCTAGAGAAAGAACAAATGATTTTGTTACCAAAAAGACTTGCATATTAGTGCTTGTTTTATATGAATTTTGTTAATCGATTTTTTTGACCGTTAAAGATAAAGTGAATTCTACTTGTAAGAAAAGAATTCAAAAATAACTGTTGAAATAGTGAAATAACGATCGAAAAATTAATATTAATTGGATTAAAATCTTTACTAAACATGCTCAATTTCTTGCACAAGTTAAAACTTTAATATTATTTAATTTGTGTATCATCGCGAGAATGATCAATTCGATTTCTTTTTAGGTAAGTTCTCTATAATCTTGTGGGCAATGTTTGATAGGACTATATTTTTCATGGAAAATAGAATTCAAATTCCAATTTTCACTTTTTGATTGTTTGATAACATGTTTTTTTTCTATGGAATTTGGTTTTCTTAAAAGTTGGAATTTTCTTGGTTTTGCTTGAAAACCAAGTGGGAATTGGTTTTCTAGGTGTTGTTACGTTTTTTTAAATTACTTTTTATTTATTTATTTTTTTGCAGTGGAAACAACTTATATTTCTAATTGTAAAAAAATAAAAAAATAAAAAATAAAAAATTCTTTTAATTGACAATTTTCATATAAAACAAACCAAACGAACACCAAAAGATAGATGATTTTCTTTGATTTTTTTTCTTTTTGGTAATGGAAACAATTTTTATCCCAATACCAGTAAATTTCATCCCTTTAATTGACAATTTTCATGTGAAATAAAGTCAAACGAACACCAAAAAATACTTTTATTTCAATATTTTTCACATGAAAAATTATACCAATCAAACACAATAATTAACTATTTCCAATAAAACAATTTCTAGACAATTCAATTCCCTGAAAGTCGTTTTCTTTCAGCCCAAATTCCATCTTTGCAATCAAACTGATCCTTATTACTATTACGATTTTGTAAATAAAAGGAGTTAAACATACGAGCTCGACAACCCAACTCAAATATGTTGTAAGGAGTGGACTGATGATCAAAATTTTCTAATGTTAGAAGAGAAATTAAGACATTAAATACCCAAGTCGTCACAAAAATTAAACAAGGCAATCGTTTAAGGCTCCACATTGATAGGGACACAAATTTCATGAAATTTAGCTCCAAATAATTTTAAAAATGGTCATAAAATGACTAAAATAGAAAGAAAAAAAATGATCATCCATATAATTGCGGATGACACGGACCAATATCTTTCAGTGATTCGAAATGAACCATTAATAGTAATGTCATCGGTAATGAACCAATAATCAATTTGATTTCTTTTAAGGTAAGATCTCTATAATTTTTTATTTTTACTTTTTAATATTTCACAATCCTAAATGAAAGAATACACGAGGTCAACAACCCCAACTTATATATGGGGCAAGGACCTGACTAATTGGTATTAGAAGAGAAATCATGATCCGAGTGGTTAGTTAATTGGGTTGTTGGCCAACCAACATTCGTATCCTAATGGACCTGAAAAGTTTGGGTAAATTCAATGAAATCAAATACTGCAATAGGATTTTAATTACTAAGCCAAACTAGATGGTTGAAAAGATTTTAATAACTATACAAGTCTTGGTGTCGGTCATTTTGTTGATCTTCTTCTTGTATGTCTTCTCTTGCTCTATTGTTCAGAAGCATTAAGTTGCCGTTTTTACAGGACATGAGATAGGCAAGTAGAATGAAGACAAAAAGCCAAAACGAACAAGTGACTCTACTGGATCAATCATGTTTTGAAACCCACACAAGAGATTCTATAGGTCAGAAGAAGACTAGTTACTTGCCAAAAGATGAATTGGGTAAGAAGTCGATTTTGCGGGCCCTACACTTAGCATGAACCCTTGGTCAGTGTACATGGAAATGACTTTAGGTAACTATCCAATTTATTGACAGGACTAAATCTAATAGGGTGGTAAGGAAGCACAAAAGTTTCCACATTTGACCACTAGTGATATTCTTCCTAACCTTGAACAGAATGTAGCAGATTGGGCTAGTTGAAGTTTTTCATTTTCAAACAAATCATGAATGGAAAATCCAGAAATAATTATTCAAGATCAGCAAAGAATTATTCAAACAGATGATAAAGATGAAAAGGTTTTTACATCTTCCACCAGTTCCCATTCAAACAGGCATTAGAAGTTCAAAAAGTGAAACGAGGGAAAAAAAAAAAAAGAAAAAAAAAGGAGCAGAATTCCTTTGTTTAATTCAATATTTCTAACAAGGCAAAGGGAAGAAAAATAGACTGGAGACAACTAAAGGAAACCATGTTGATCTTTGCATAACGATCTTCAATTTTATGGCCTTGATCAATCAACGACTATCTCCGCTTACACTGATATACCAACAGTGAAACAGTTTCCCCGTCTAGTCTATTAAAAAGGACCAGAAAAGAACCTTTTTAGATATTAATCCGGTTGGAGTTGTGACTCAAATAGGAGGGTGTTGTTGGTGTTGGAAATGAGTCCAACTGCATTCAACAACAAAGAAACAAAATCCTGTTGAAATTAGATCTCCTAATTATAATATATTTTCTTGCCTTTTAGAACTCTTCTAGAGTTTGAAATGTGGCCCATAAATACAAGGCTCCTCAATCAGTTTTGTTTAAACATTATTGCTGTGTTTGTAATTTCTTTCCATATTGTCAATTTATAATAAATCGTGCCTCTGTGATAAATTCTCTTTATTTATTTCTTTACTTTTAATCATGTTTCTTGTTCTGATCTTTATCACTTCACATCGTCATTAAATCTCATTTTTTACAACCTTTTGAAATCAACAAGTGTTATCAGAGCTTCCGCGCCCAACAAATCCTACATTGACAACCTTGCCATTCCCGTCAACAAGAAATTGCATAAGTTAACCATATGATTCTAGGTCCATAATAGTTGAAATTGCGTATTCACAAGGGTAGACATTAAATCAGGCATGTCCCCAAACTTTCTCCCCATCAAATTTTAGATTCTAGTTCATTTAACTCTTCAATTTCTGATTTGCGAGTTACCGCTGCTAAACGTCATCCAGTTGTCCATGGCATTGATACTGCTACTCTCCAATCTGCTTTTAGGCCAAGCAATATTACTTATATCTGTAGCTAGCGCATACAATTCATGACTTAGAAGGGATGGAGGCTCAGCATAGTCTACAAATTCAGGACCTAATAAGCAGCTTACATGTGTTCTACACTACCTTGAATTTCATGGCAACTATGGGACTAATCGATCACCATAAGCTCCTCCGAGCAATTTACTTATCCCAACGGATTGTTTTGAGGATTGAATCAAGGGACCATTCAAAGGACTGGACACTAGACATGGATTTAAGTTTCTGGGCTATTCTTGGAATTACGAACTGTAAATGCAATGATATGAGCCACTGGACGGAATAGAGTTGAAAGGCCTTCACGTGTGTCAATAGATTGACCTTCTGACTGAATCCTCTCTTCATTGTGCTCATAACTTGCAAGTTCTAAAGAGAAGAGATCTTTCCCTTCATTGGATGTTGATGAATTGCAAGATGGAGTTTTGATGCTTTTGATTTTTCTGCACTAGCATAATATTCATTTGTTCTTGAATCATTGAATTCTGAACCTATCACTTTTGAAGAAGCCATTAAATGTCCCTGTGAGAAAAGAGAAGAGTAGAAGAAGGAGGAATAGAAGAGGGAAGAGAAGAGAAGTGGAATGGCGCCTAGGCGCCTTCTCGGCAGAAACTTGGCGCCTAGGCGCCCCGAGTGTTGGAACAAATCAGAAACATGGCGCCTAGGCGCCTCGATAGGTATATATATTGCCTATTTTTTCCCTCCTTCATTAGTTCAAGACCTAGACCCGAAAATAGAGAGAAAATTGAGAGAAAACTTGGAGAGAATTTTACAAGATTGAGGTTGTCCATCTTGGGTATAAATTCAAAGTTATTTTCTTTCTTGGGGATTAACTTGAGGCATGTTCAAGTAATCCAAATACATTGTTCTTCATTTATTCCATTGAAATCATTTATTCCTCATTTTCTTGTTCTTCAAGTGGTTTGGAATTTTTCACATTGTCAAGCTTTGTTTGATCTTGGGCTATCTTTGGGAGGTGTTTTCCCAACAATTTGGTATCAGAGCTTCTTCCTAAATCAAGGTGGTTAAGCTTCGATTTTTGGTGAGTTGCTTGAACTTTGTTGTGCACACAAGGTGTTTGTGAAAATTCCCAAGTGAACTTTTGTGGTTTATTTTTGGTAAACAAGTGAATAAATTATGTCTACTAGAGGAATGGTGAAGATTGGGAAGTATGAGATAGAGAAATTCAATGGGAAGAATGATTTTTCATATTGGAGAATGCAAATGAAAAATTTGTTGATTTCTCAAAAGTTGCACAAGGCATTGGCGGGAAAGGAGAAGAAGCACGTTGATATGTCGGACGAGGATTGGGAAGAGCTAGATCTTGAGGCACGAGCGTCTATCATTCTTTGCCTTGAAAGAGACGTTGCTTTCTTGGTTGATAGTGAGGTAACGGCGGTGGAGGTGTGGACAAAGTTGGAGGCGAACTTCATGACGAAGACTCTAACAAATCGGATCTATTTGAAGTCCAAATTGTATACTTGCAAGATGGATGAAGGTACACCAATCCGGGAGTACGTCAACAAGTTTGATAGGATCATATCGGACTTGAAGGACATTGATGTGGAAGTAAATGATGAGGATCAAGCACTTCTACTAATTCTTTCATTGCCAAAGTCTTACGAGAACCTAGTACAAACATTGATGCTTGTGGGTGATAAACTTGTGATGGAGGACACTAGAACGTCACTTCTAGTAGATGATCTTCGAAAGATTGCAACTAGTGACATGTCTACTATTGGTAACAAGGAGCAAGCTCAAGGATTGTTTGTAAGGGGTAGAAGCAATGTGCGACCAAAGGGCAAGGAAGAAAAATCTAGATCGAGTTCTAGACCTCTTGTGGAAAGGTCTTGTTTCAAATGCAGCGAGCT